ACAAGTATAGTACAAACTCTTATTATTCAATTGGAAACCACGCACAAAGGAGGTTCCAATCAGATTATAGATTGTTAACATGATTATATTAGTCATCTTATTCGATTAATGCTAATCTCTTATTATTGAATTGGAAACCACACACAAAGGAGGTTCCAATCAGATTATATATTGTTAACATGATTACATTAGTCATCTTATTCAATTAATGCTAATACTTGTAAATCTCGTCAAGCATTCATGATTATAACTTATGTTAACAACAAATCAAGTTCCTTTCATAGCTCAGGTGTCGGTTATACCATACATTATGGGCTATGAAAGTGCCAAACATTTGTTGTACCAAGTGTTATACAACATAAATCAAGATTAGTCATTTAACAAGCAAAGTATTAAAGAATGAACAAGATAACAAATACAAAATATGTTAGTATCAAACATTAAAGTTCATATTAAGTTTACACTATACTTATTCTTACACCATTAGTGTAACCTTTTCACCTTGACATAATAAACTTAGCTAGACATAATGAAAGAAAGAAAAATAAATAAACAAAATAAGATAAAAGTTAGCTAAGTAAATGAAAGAAAATGAAAAGCATAAACTTGATATTAATAAAAGCAAAGCATAAACATTACAAAAAATACAAAGAGAGAAAGCAAGAGCATGATCTTGATCTGGAAACCAAGATGCCTAAATGCATGACAAATGCCTCCTTTTATAGGCCAAAATTGGGAACTATTGATTTGATGACTAATTGATGAGTGGGTGACCAACTCTTGACTTGGTGACAATCCTTATCTTCTCTTATTTGCCCGAAACGTCATTGATAACGTCAAAATTAGAGCCACTCGAAAACATGAAAGTTGTAGGAAATTGTCTCAGCTTTCTTGTGTAAACAATTCAGCTCATTTGGACTTCTAGAACTCCAGATATGGGCCAAACACTGAACAGTGCTCAGGCTGGAAGACAGATTCGAGCTTCTTTGTTGTTGCTACAATTTGGACTTGAAAATGGTCTTTTTAGATCTTGGGCTCCATATGAAAGTTGTAGGACTATGTCTTACCTTTCCATCCATATAAAGTAGATCAAAATCTGAGATCTAGAGCTCCAAATATGACCCAATTATCGAATAGTATTTCGGTTTGGATTGCACCAACATCTCTTTTCTAAGTTTGGCCATCTCTTTGTCCTTTTAATTCCAGTTCTTAAATTCATCAATCAATCCTTTTATTTATATGATAGGCCTCCATTTAAAATGAACATTTACCATAAATTAAAGGTATCTTATATTATTAGATACGTTATTATAAAACATGCTTTAGTTAAGGGGTTATTGATACTTCAAGTGCAAAATGATGATATAAAACCTTGATAAAAATGCACTTTTAAGTACTAATCAGCTAGCCCATTCGCTAGTGCAACTCATAAAAAAAATGACCAAACAAAAAAAATTTAAATATTAGTAACGTGCTTTTAAAAAAATAAAAATATTTTATTTATGAATTTAAAATTAGTTGTTTATTAGATAATATTTTTATTTAATTTTAAAAAGAAAATACATCGGATCAATGTAAGCCAGTCCAGGTTAACATATGAAGGTTGAAAGTATAATCTTGGAAAAAACAAACTGGAAACCTAGATCTCGAATTAATTTAATATTGAAGAATAAAATTAACAAAAAAATAAGTGAACCTGAGTCAACCAATCAAACCATCAATATAAGTCATGCATGCCATTAAATTTAATAAATATCTTATTTTATATATTATTTTTCATCTAATAGATTTATACGAAAGTAAAGCAAATATGATATTTTCTAATGAAATTTTTTTAAAGAAAAAACATAACAGATGTGTGGGGTTGGGATAATAAAAGCAAATCATTGATAACAAGGGGTGAAACAACATTTTTTAATTTTAAGTTAATTAAAAATAGATCACTGATATTAAAAGGGTGAAATTGCATTTTAAAAAATTAAGACACTGAAAATGCATTAAAAAAATTTATAGGATGTTGTGACTTAACTTGTCATACTTGCAATGTGATCCAAATTACAGGACTAACTTGGTTTGTTTTTTACTATATCTAATAAAAAAAAAACCAAAAATACCCAATAACGTTGGCCTATAACCAGAGCATTAGGCCTATGAAAGAATAGTCAAGGTTGGTATGCCTAAGCCTACTTTTTTTTCATTCATTGGGATGAAATGATTTATCATCCATTTTTTTTTCTTTTAAAGTATATAAACCACGCATCACTAACTGAGGCAGACGAAGTGTCATCTTTCAGCCAAGATGTCAGTCATTATAGTGGTGTTTAGAAAATCAAAGCTATGAGTTTTTAACTCGCTAAACCCAATTCTCTACCTATTTAAGCAACAAAAAAAAATCTTATAACATGTAGAAACCAAATTAAAAACTCAAAATACAGCTCAAATCACAAAATCAAACTAAGCAAATTTTTTCTGCATTGTCTTAGATATGTTTTTTAGGCAAAATCAAGGCTTAAAACAACTATTATAAGACTTTCCTCAACAAATACAACCCATTAACACCAATTTCAACCATTTTAGTTGTCGAGATAGGTATAAATGATGAATTTCTCTTTCTAAGCCGGAATTCGGTAAGCTTCTCTATCTCCTCTAACAAATAAGGATTGGAAAATAAAAAATTTAAAATTTAATATCAAAATTAAATTTTTGAAAAGTAAAGGAACCGATCACCTATAAATACAAAAAGATAGGAGATTAAAGTAAACTTTTTATTTGAAATTCAAAGCCATTTTCATTTCTGTCCCCTTATTTTCAATCCAATCCTTCCCACGAGAAAAACACATAGTTAAGTGCAAATTTAGGCTAAAAATGCTCCATTGTGCAAAAACAAACTTTAAAGATCAAATTTGAATTTTTATAAAAATTGATTATTTTAATCTATAATGATTTATAAAAAAGTGCACAACAAAGATAGCTACAATGAAAACCCCACATGTTTTAACTTTATACTTAACTATATCATTGGACCGTGTTGTATTATGGGTTAGATTAATTTTTTTAATGTAAAACAAATCAAAGCACTACTACTATTTTTAAATAAAAAATTAATCATGAACTAGAAAATATGATGTGCAATGGATGCTATATTTTTCAAATATTGATACGGTGACATATTATATGATATTATTTTTGAAAAAAAAATTGAAACATCAATATATTGAATCGATATAGGTTAACTTGTCAAATTTATTATTTGGGTTATAAAATCGTGACAACCTTATAAAAAGCATATCAAAATAAATTATGAAAATAAATTTCTAATTAATCCAATGTTAAAGGACATAATTGAAAAAAATATTAGATAAAAAAACAAATAAAACTAACTGATTCAACTCAGGTTAATTTACCAAACCTACAACCCAAGTCATAAAATTAAGATAACCTTATAGAAAGTAAATAAAAAAATAGAGCTCAAATTTCAACTAACCTAATATTGAAAAATGAGATAAAAAAAACAACCTAATTAACCTAGGTTATCTTATTATACTCGCAACATGGATTATGAGATTGAAATAAGTTTATTAAAGAAAAAAATCTTGAAACTCCAATTCCAATGGATATAATGGTGAAAGTTAAATTTGAGAGGAAAAAAACAAGTGAGACGGAGATAAATCCAATAAAAGCAAATTGAAAATAATAATGAAGCCTAATTTTTAAATATCCTAATATGACCAAGATTGAGTTGTTGGAGGATGAGGTTGAAAAAAAACTCAATTAAAAAATGAATCCAAAAAATAAACCGAGTTATCTTGTATTAGCCTATCAAACTCACGATTTAAATCTATAAAAAAATAAAAAAAATTCATGAAGCATGATAAAAAAATATTCAATTAAAATGGACCAAAAAAAATGAACAAAGTCGGCCCTTGTTATGGAATTTGGATAATCTCATAAAAAGCAGATAAAAAATATTACAAAACCTAATTCTAAACTAATTTAGTATTTAAGGATGAAATAAAAAAATAAAAAAAATTTAAATTAACTCGAATTAACCAGTGAAGCCCGCAACCTGAGTTATGAAATTAAGATAAATTTATAGAAAGAAAAAAAATTACGAAGCCTCACTTCCAACAAATCTAATATTAAAAGTTAAAATCGATAAAAAAAAATTAAAATTCATGAGATTGGTATATAATCCAATATAAAAAATACAAAATATAATTATCAAAATAATATAATATTAAATAATAAATTTTAAAAACAAATAAAAACTTATTAAGTTTTTAAAGGACAAAAAAAAAGAGTACAAAACACTATTATAATAATAATTATTATTAGTATTTTGTAAATATAACCACAATTTAGCCATATCATTTCCTCGCCATTATACTTCTTTTTAATTAATATCAAAAATACTTTATTTTTAATAATTTTTTTTAAATCATCATGTTACTATAATTATTATTGTCACAGTTTTTATCTAACCATTATAATAATTGATAATATCATGTGTTTGATAATAGGATGTAAAATATTTTTTAATTAAAAATATATTAAATAATTTCTAATATTAACATATTAAAATCATAAAAAATACATAAAAAATCAAATTTTTTTTAAAATACATTTTAAGATACAAATACAACTAGAAAAGCAAACACTCCCATCATCTCATCATCAACTATCACAATTCACTATAAAATTAGTTGATTGTCCATGCATTGTGTAGTATATTGTAATATTTTAAATTTATAATAAAAAAATAGTAGATACAAATAAGTGAAAATATATGAAACAAAAGGAATTTGGAGTTAATATTCGTAGCTACTAAAAGAGGAAGTAATAACCTGTATATATATATATATAGGATGAAGTTTGATTTAGAACATATTTTACTTTTAATTTTAATATGAAACATTAAAAACCAATTAAAAATAATAATAATAAAAAATCTTGAAGAGACGTTGCAATTTGGACTACATGGTGGAAATGATAAACCGTGGAGAGAGCGAGCGAGGGAGGAGCAGTGTATCCAAACAAAACTACTCCCGCGCGCCATGAACAGCACTCTCTCTATCCTTTCCTCTCCATACATTTCCAAATTCAACCCCTCCCTGTTCCCTCCTCTTCCTCAAACCCTAGGATTCTACTGCCTTCAAAACCCCAAACCCAAACCCAAACCGAGATCATTCAATTCATTTCGACTCCTCTCCTTCTCCAACTCCCCAAACTCTCTCATTCCGGCGGAGTCGCAACTCTCCGATGCTGACAACGACGAAGAAGAAGAGTACGAAGATGACGAAGACGACGACGAAGAGGAGGACGAGGCTGCTGATGAATACGACGATATTTCGGAGGCAATCGAAGAAGAAACAGAAACCGAAATATCGGTCGATGCGAGTAGTAGTGAAGTATCAAATTGGCGCAAGGAATCCAAGTGGCAGAGAGTCGAAAAGCTCTGTAACGAAGTCAAAGAGTTTGGAAATGAAATTATTGACGCTAATGAACTTGCTTCCATTTACGATTTCCGCATCGACAAATTTCAGGTTCTTCTTCTTGATTTTTTTTAAATTTTTTTTTATGAAATTGGTGAAAATTAGCTATATATATTGTTTTTGGCAGCGGTTGGCGATAGAGGCGTTTTTGAAGGGATCATCGGTAGTGGTATCGGCACCAACAAGCAGTGGAAAGACATTGATAGCTGAAGCTGCAGCAGTTGCTACTGTTGCTAGAGGAAGGAGGATTTTCTACACCACTCCTCTTAAAGCTTTATCCAACCAGAAATTTCGTGATTTTCGGTTTGTGATTTCCACTTCTTCAAATAATAACAACATTGCTTTGTTTTGCTTATTCATTGATAAGTACTATTTCTCTTAAACTACACTTACAGGGAAACGTTTGGGGATGAGAATGTTGGTCTTCTCACAGGAGATTCTGCCATCAATAAAGATGCCCAAGTTTTGATTATGACAACAGAGATTTTGCGAAACATGCTGTATCAAAGGTATGTTTTGTTTTATACTGTAATGGTTAAATATTTTGATCCTACCAACAGATGGTGTATGGAACAATGTTACTTTAATTTAGTACAGCTGGGAGTAACAGATTGATATCGAGGCATTGACATTTGCAGTAAGAAAACAAGATTTTATTTTAAATCGGTCCCGGTCCCGGTCCCGGTCTCAATTTCAACTATACTGTACGTTGGAAGGATGATAATCGCCATGCTTAGCTTTTATAAATTCATCAGTATCACGATGTTTAAGTTTAAAAGCAGATTAAGTTGTCAGCAATGATTTGTAGACCTGAATTTCTTTTACCTGGAAATTTGGTTTGTGTATAGAAAATCTATTATCCTTTTCCTTATGCAGTTATGACCCATGTACTTCTTTTGTTACTTCAATTTATCTTTTGAATTAAGTATATAAATGGTGGTTGGACTTGTCATGCAGCATTGGGATGGTTTCTTCTGGGAGTGGACTTTTCCATGTTGATGTGATTGTTTTGGATGAAGTTCATTTTCTAAGTGATATATCTCGTGGTACTGTATGGGAGGAGATAGTAAGTATAATTTATATTTCAGTATCTCATTTACAGACCAAAATTTCACCGCATTGCATAGTGTGATGGACATTGTTAAATTTGCAGATTATTTATTGCCCGAAAGAAGTTCAACTGATATGTTTATCAGCAACAGTCAAGAATCCAGATGAGCTGTCTGGATGGATTCGTGAGGTACAATTCTTTATAAATGTCCACTATACTACCTTGTATGGAGCTGTCTTACAGACATGGCAGTTACACAGTAATGCTTGCAGGATAATTATTTGCCAGTAACAAGATGCTCCATTTGGCCCATTTATTATTCATTCTTCTACTTTTAACAAACTATTTGTGGAACTGTTGCTAAGGAATTTAATGAAATGCTAAGCTTGTTCCACCTCCTCTTATTGAAGAACCTAACAGAACCAGAATTTACTTATCATCCAGAGTTTGACTTTGGGAGGTTCATTTTTATAGTTTTAATATCTTGTTTTAATTTTACATCTCCTAGAAACATTTATCTTAATTATTTAGTTGCTAATGATCTTCAATGAAAATACATTTAAATTGTTCTTGATATGGAATAGATCAGAACCATTCCCATTCTAGCTGAGGCCTTTGACATGTTCGATTTCTATGGATACCTAGTATAAAAATGGTGGAAAATTGTTGGCCAAAATATACTGATGAATGATCTAGCCAACATTGGTTTATTTATTTATTTATTATTGTATCATATTTAAGCATCGACTATCCTTAAAAACAACACTTTATCATCCTTCTTTCATTTTGTATTTTCTTATGCTTTGCTTCTCACAGAGTCCAAGGCCACAGAAATAGTGAAATATATTTTGTGATTGTTGGGCGGAAGGATCACATCGACTAACATTCTAAAATAATTTTGTGGGTGTGCTAATAGTGTAATTATTTTTTTTGTCTTGGTTAAGGAAGATGTCTTTTGTGGTTAATGTGGACGCATAAGCCTGTAGCTGCAGATTGAGTTCCGAATGGTTTTCGTACATTCCTACCTTTAGGGAACCAGAAGTGACGTCTTCAATGCATTTTTTGGCTTCCTTTAGATTCTTAGGTTTGCAAATTAAGAATTGAAGTGCATGCACTATGAATGGTGGATGAGATTACTGGCAATTTTTCTTGTTACTTGATCAGTTTGCATCCTTACATTTGTATTGGTTTTGGACAATTAACATTCTGATGGATTGGCTTTATCCAGCAATATAAAAGATGAACACATACATGAATGCACTTGCACATGACATGTGCCCGTCATCCCATGAACGCACCATTGATTTGATAATTCCAATGAAAACAACTGCTTACATGTCTAGACATTGTTCTTGTTGGCTGTGGGATGTTTCTTCTGCTTTTCATTCCTCTGTTGAAGTAATTGTTTATTGGGCTGGCTGCATCATTACAAAGGCTATGTTTTTTATTTCATGTCTGAACTCTTGTCCTACTATTGAACTAGATTTATCCTTTAATTTGACTTTGAAACCTGTTTATGGAAGAAGTTAAGGTATATTGGAGTGAGATGTGTAAATTAAGAGTGCACAAAACTTCTATCATACCTCCCTTATCAGATGGATTGAAATAATGATATGCTTCCATTTATATGTGGACAAAACTTCTGGATGCATCTTTTCTCAATGGGATAAAAAATTGTGACATGCTTGAACTCAATTCTGCACATTAGTCATGCCAGCCATGGCTTCTGTATTGTCTTGTTTGGTGACCTATGGAAACAATATTTTTCAGTGAGAAAGGTAAATTGATATTTATTTCAATTTACTTTATAGGTTCATGGTGAAACTGAACTGGTGACATCATCAAGGCGTCCAGTTCCATTGACTTGGCACTTCTCTACCAGGCATTCTTTGTATCCTCTTCTTGATGAGAAAAGAAAGCACATGAATAGGTTTGTCTGTCTTCTGTCATCTTATTCATCTTGTCACCCCCCAAAAAAAATTCTTTCTTCATCTGAACTCCAAATTCAATTTATGTCGCAGTTGTATTGATGATGGTTGCATGATGTTCTTGCATTTATATAAAGAATTCTTTGTGATGGAATGATACTAATTTCTGGTTTTGACTTTTAATTTGAACAGGAAGCTGTCGCTCAATTATCTACAACTTTCTGCTTCAAGAGTTAAATCTTACAAGGATGATGGCTCGAGAAGAAGGAATTCAAGAAAACATGGAAGCAACATGGGCTTTGATAGTATTGGTAACATGTCTGAAGAACCTCTTTCGAAGAATGATATAAGCAGGATACGCCGTTCACAGGCAATTTAATTTATCCATTGTTTCTCTGATAATGTGACACTTTTCTTTTTCTTTCCTTCTTTCCTTTTCTTCTGAGTATGCTAGTTTATTATAGCTGACTTATAACTTGTCCTCTAGAATGGAAAAGGAGATTAGTCATCTAAAATAAATCATGATTTTCAGGTGCCTCAAGTTGTTGATACACTAGCACAGCTTAAGGCAAGGGATATGCTGCCTGCAATTTGGTTTATTTTTAACCGAAGAGGATGTGATGCGGCTGTGCAGTACCTTGAAGGTTGCAGGCTCTTAGATGAATGTGAGGCAAGTGAGGTTGAACTGGCTTTGAAGAGGTTCAGTGTTCAGAATCCCGATGCTGTCAGGGAGACTGCTGTCAAAGGACTTCTAAGAGGGGTTGCTGCGCATCATGCAGGATGTCTCCCTCTATGGAAATCTTTTATTGAGGAACTGTTCCAGAGAGGACTTATTAAAGTTGTCTTTGCCACAGAAACACTAGCTGCTGGAATCAACATGCCTGCTAGGACAGCTGTTATCTCATCTCTCAGCAGGAGGAGTAGTAGTGGACGTATCCCATTAAGCCCAAACGAGCTTTTTCAAATGGCTGGGCGAGCTGGTCGTAGAGGCATTGATGAAAGGGGCCATGTTGTGCTGGTTCAGGCTTCCAATGAAGGTGCGGAAGAGTGCTGCAAGCTTCTATTTGCTGGACTAGAACCTCTTGTATCACAGTTTACTGCTTCCTATGGGATGGTGCTGAATCTTCTTGCTGGTGCAAAAATTACTCGTAGATCAAATGAATCAAATGAAATGAAGGTTCTCCAGGCAGGGAGAACTTTGAAAGAAGCCAGGAAACTAGTTGAAAAAAGTTTTGGAACATATATTGGCAGCAATGTGATGCTTGCTTCAAAAGAGGAGCTAGCTAAAATACAGAAAGAGATTGAAATGCTGACCTCAGAAACCAGTGATGATGCTATAGATAGAAAGAGCAGGAAAATCCTATCTGATGGGGCATTCAAGGAGATTGCAATTTTACAAGAACAATTGAGGGAAGAGAAACGCCTGCGGACTGAATTACGTAGAAAGATGGAAACAAAGAGATTAAATGCCCTGAAAATTTTATTGAAAGAGTTAGGAAATGATCGTTTACCCTTTTTGTGCTTGAAATACAAAGATTCTGAAGGAGTGGAACATTCAGTGCCTGCTGTTTATTTGGGGAATGCTGATTCATTTGATGGTTCAAAATTTAAAAACATGGTTTCTGACATTGATTCATTAGCACAGACTGTTGCATCCATTGAGTCAAATGTAAGTGAAGTTGAAACTCATAAAGATGTTGAGCCATCTTATCATGTAGCTCTTGGTTCAGATAACTCTTGGTATCTGTTTACAGAAAAATGGATCAAAACTGTTTATAAGACAGGCCTTCCTAATGTTGCCTTGTCTCTAGGGGATGATTTGCCACATGAAGTTATGTGGATGCTTCTTGATAGGGAGGAGAAGCAGTGGGAAAAGCTTGCTGAATCTGAACTTGGTGGTTTATGGTACATGGAAGGATCTCTCGAGACATGGTCGTGGAGCTTAAATGTGCCTGTTTTAAATAGTCTCTCTGAGATTGATGAGGTGTTACACATGTCACAAGCTTACCATGATGCAGTAGAAAGTTACAAGGATCAAAGAAACAAAGTTGCACGTTTGAAAAAAATGATAGCACGTACTGAAGGCTTTAAAGAATATAAGAGGATCCTAGACTGGAAGAATTTTACAGAGGATAAGATTAAACGCCTCAAGATGAGATCAAACCGTTTGAGCGAACGGCTGCAGGAAATTGAACCATCTGGCTGGAAAGAATTCTTAAAGATCAGCAATGTTGTACATGAAAGCAGGGCCTTGGATATCAACACACAAGTAATATTTCCTCTTGGTGAAACTGCAGCTGCGATTCGAGGAGAAAATGAACTGTGGCTTGCAATGGTTCTTAGAAGTAGAATCCTTTTGGATTTGAAACCTGGACAACTTGCAGCTGTCTGTGCTAGTGTAGTTTCTGAAGGGATCAAAGTTCGTGCCTGGGAAAATAACAACTACATCTACGAGCCTTCTTCCGCAGTAATCAATGTTATTAACATCTTAAATGAGCAGAGGAGTAACCTTTCGAAGCTTCAAGAAAAACATGGGGTAGAGATAACCTGTTGTTTGGATAGCCAATTTTCAGGTATGGTTGAAGCCTGGGCTGCAGGGCTCACTTGGAAGGAGATGATGATGGATTGTGCAATGGATGATGGGGATTTAGCTCGCCTCCTACGACGAACAATTGATATATTGGCTCAGATTCCTAAATTACCTGATATTGACCCGGTTTTGCAAAGCAATGCAAAGACAGCATCCAGCATCATGGACCGGCCACCAATAAGTGAACTGACTGGATAGGGCTTATTCCTGGGAGAAACACATAAATTCCACATGCTTGCTCCTTTAAGGTGAACGCTTACCAAGATATCTCTTATTTAATCTTCAATACAATTCTACTCAAGAATGATCTACCCTAGCCCTTAGCCAATACAAATTAATGAAAATCTTAACCGCGTTATTTTGACGGATTCTGGATTCATGGCAGCAAATTAGTGACAGACGGTGGTGCATATGAAAATTTCCATAGTTGAGCGTTAAGCAAGCCATGGGAATAGATAAGTCATTTTATTTGCATTGGCTAGGTTAAGATCGATTCTCAATGGAGAAAATCTTTAATCCTGGTCTACTGTTTTCAGGGGTGATTCCATTAATCAGTAAATGGGTGGCCTTTTTTTCTTTTTTCTTTTTTTTTTTGTGTTTTTTTGATGAAGATCTAATCGATAATTTTAAATCGAAGCCCGCCCACTGCCATTAAGGATTTGGCTGTGTGAATCTGGAAAAAAAAAGTTCATATTACAACCACGCTACTACTAGATCACTCTCCCTCAAAACATTAGTGAAACTCAACTGATTTCAGAGCCGAGACAAGCCAAGCATTGGAATTGAAAGTGCTTGTGTTGGCTCCTATCGCGTAACCAAAAGAGAACCTGTTTTAATTACCATATACACAGATAGAGGAAGTAAGAACTCTATTTCATGCTCTATGAAGATGCTGCTGCTGCGTTTCATGGCATGCGAGTTATGTGGTTGATGAGATCGGGGTTAGATAATTTCTCCATCCTCAACCCCTCAAAATCAAAGCTCTTTTCTGCATCTGAATGCTGACGCAACGACCTCAATTTTTTTATCTGCTTTTAGCTGGATACATGCGTGGAAGTTTAATCAATGCACTATCATTTCCAAACAAAATGTCCAAAAAATCTGAACACGCGCAGACACATTCTATATATTGTACACACATACAAAACGAAAACGAGTTGGAATGCTATTTCCGATAGGGAAGCCGGGAGAAAAAGCCAACTGGAAAGGTTTTTGAATTCTTTATGATCAATACGATCTAGATTCGACAGTAGCCCATCTAAGGATTCTTCACCTTGATCCTCAACTTCCGAGCAATTTGTGCTGCTTTTGGATGAACTGGCCGCTTATTGCAGTCAGACTGCTCTACCTCCACCCAGTTTATAACCTTCAATATTAGAGATTGAGGAACTTTCGTAGCATCCCCATCTGCTGCTGTTCCTTTAGATTTCTTCATTCCAGTTTCCAAAGCTTTCTCCAGGAAGTCCATGAACCAATTTCCAGCTTCATTTTCAATCTGCTTGCCCAACCTAATTGTATTGCTTAAGCTGCAAGAGGAGGTTGGTCTCTTGTTTTCATCATTCTCAATCATAGCTTTAGGTGGCAGTTTTCCCTGTGGAGTTGATGGCCCTTTCCTTTCTGGAAAGGCCTTTTGATTAGCATTTGATCTTTGGAGTTTCTCGAAATTCATCGTCTGATCACTTCTTTCATTGAAGCTAGCTATTGATTTGTACACCGCTGTTCTTTTCGACGAGTTTAATACAGGATTCCCACATTGGTCCATAGAATTGTGTACAATTTCATGTAAGATCGAGGAATTTTCTCCACGCTGTTCAATATTTGTGCTCTGACCAACTTCAGCAGCTGAAGTTGCTGCTTGAATGGACACTATATCAGTAACTGCTCTCACAATCTGGTGATGGAACTCCAGAAACTGGTCAAAACAGCCTGCCGGAGCATCTGGTCTCGCTGTTCTGCTCAAATTCAAGATCATCCTACACAAGTAGTCATTGTTTTGATGTTAGCAAAACTTAGTTTCATCTTCCAAATCATGATAACATGATTAAAACCGAAAAGAAGCCAAAAAAACGCACAAATAAAAGGATAGGATAAGGGGTTTAGTACTTGAGAGGCCGAACTAAAGTTTCAGTGGCTGAGGCATCTCTTAGCGCCTGGAGGGCTATCTTCTGAGCCGTTTCTCGTTGCTGCACAGCTTCCTGTTAGCCACAAAAGGTTTAGCAAACAATAGAAAGCAAAGAGAATCAAGATTTCATCTAGAGGAATCCAGAGTTCACCTTGCCTAATAGGTTCAACTTTCCTGGTAAATTCATGGCCAGCTCGGTACTGGTATCAGAGGCTGCATTACCATGCTGACACTGTATTTCTGAGATGGCCTTTAAATTGCAAGAGTTTTGAGCTTCTCCGCCCATTCCGAGAGAAGCTACCGCCCCTGCATTTCTTAAACTCGGTGGGGGAGTTGAGCTTTTATTTTCCTACAGAAAACAAAAACAGCAGCATTCAATTATATTATTATTTTTATTTTTATACAGAAGATTTATAGGGCAATGAAAAGCTTTGGCTCTTTCCAAAAGCTAATCGCTATATTTATTATCAAGCAACCATTTGAAGCTCATCAGTAACTTGATGAACCGAAAAATAATAATTCAATACTTAATAAATGAGAGGAAAATGCACCTACAGATGATTTGCAGGGGCTAATTGGAATTCTAGCTTCTCGTTCACAGACACTCTTGCTTCTTGGAAACTTGAAATTAGCAGAAGGTACAGCACAACTTTTCCTAAGCAATGCAGGGCTCTCTCCCTTGTTGTCCACCATCTTAGCCAGCAATCCACCACCAGCAAAAGAACACCTGACCACCCCATTAGCGCCTCCATCTTTGGCAATTCTCCCCCTCACCACCGGGGAGACTGATTTCACACAGCTTACAGCCAACCGCTGTTTCACCGGTGTGCACTGATTAAAATCCAAAGGAACTGGCTTTAAAGCCATTGGAGATGAAACCCCATCTGCCCCATTTTGCCCTGTTCCCCAAGAACCTCTCCTTTGACCATTGGATGGTTTTTGTTCACTTCTCTCTCCTTTTCCTCTAAGACCCATAAGGGGTTCAGGGGTTCCTAATAATGGGTGTCTCCCTGGAAGTGGTTTTGCCCCTTTGACAACAGGAACAGGAGATCCTGGCTCCAGTCTGTCAACGTAAATGAACTGACCTAGCTGCATTTTGTCGCTGAAAACATAATCATCTTGATCGGAGGGAAGACTGACATAGATGGAGTGCGAAGAATCTGATACTTTAATGAAGAATCCTTGTTTAGGCCACAGATTTTTCTCGTCAAGATCAGCTGGTACTATGTCAGTTACCTGCAAAAGTGAACTCCGGTGCTCGCTGGTGGGTTTAGTCCCTGTATCCATCCCATTTAGTAGCTTCAACAGAATTCCAGGTGCCAAAGTTGCCATAAAGAACGGAAATTGGATAAAACTCTACTTGTGTTCAACTTCGGGGTTGGAATTTTAGATTTTGAGGGAGCGGCTGTTGGGTAATTGAGTGGTGCTAACGGTAACTAGGTGGTGATGGTGGTAAAGATTACTCTTTTAAAAATATTCAGATTTTTATTAACGTTGCTGCAACGGTCCTATGTTGGTCTCTTTTTTGAATGATCCATCTGCTTCTCCTATTTTGCTTTTGATTTTACTAATCGAAAATAAAAAAATAAATTGTAGATTTCATTCAAAACCACGCGGCTGGTCACGTAGTTGCTCCCTCCTTAGTTATTGCTGTCTTTATTCGATTTTTTTTTTCATTACCTAACCCCACGCTCAATTAATTCAGATCTAATATAATTCATGTTTGAAACAAAATAAAATAAAAACTTGATTAATTCGGTAAAATAACTTTGCTTGACCTGCTGATTTGGCCAAAACTCGGACTTCAATTAATTTATTTTAATTTTAATTTTATTAATTAAAATAATATTATTTTAATTTTTTTAATAAATTTGTTCTTTTTAAGCCGTGAATATATGTTATCTCAATCAACAATCAATTTAAATTTTACAACTATGTTCTAAAGTTATTAGTTTTTTTATTTAAATTTATTTTACTCCATCGAGTAATTCAAGTAAATCTAATGTTTTATTCACCATGTTATTAATTGTTTTTACTTGAAATACTACAAATATTACAATCAACAAGTTAGAATTAGTACCGAACGTCCTCTAATTTTAAAAATCTAAAAATAAGATATTATTTGGATAATATAATTTTTTTATATTATTATCTAAATTTCTTTAAAAATAGATTGGATTAGTTTTGATAAGTATTAGTATTATCTTCTTTTCTTTTTTCAATAATATTCACCTTTGTAAATGAACTGTGAATGAAATAATCTATTTTTTAACACAAGTGACATTTTTTTATATTGTTATTTAAATTTCTTTAAAAACAGATTGGATTAGTTTTGATAAGTATCAGTATTATCTTCTTTTCTTTTTTCAATAATATTCACCTTTGTAAATGAACTTTGAATGAAATAATCCATTTTTTAACACAAGTGACATAGGAGCCACTATTTTTAATATCTTTTATTTATAAAAATAATAACAAAGAAAACATATATTTAAAAATTAAGAATTGCTCTAAAAAGCATGAGTTTTTCATTGTACAAAGCTCCGTCGTTTATCCTTTTGCACATTACTATGGATATGCTATGCAAAATTTTATGTTTTTTTTAATTTGATCCTCAATTTTTTTTTTGATGATTTAGTTCTAATTAAAAGTCAATTGATTTTGATTTTGTTATGAAAAGATAGGATTTAAAGAAAAGTGATAAAAATGAAAAAGGCTTTAACCATGGGTGGTATGCTATAAGTTTTATAAAAGATGTACTTAGGTCCTTGAACTTTAAAAATCACATAAATTATACAATTTTGGTATCTCAATATTTTTCCAATTCAATTTTGCTACAAAAATTTATTTTTGTTATATTTTATCTCTGGTTGAGAGAGGAAAAAGAGAGAGGTCACCAAATTTTGATTGTAATAGCCTAGCCTAACTTGCAATATATTGTTCACTTTGGGCTTTATCGTCCTCTCGGTTTTGTTCCTGGTGACGCAAGCCCACATTTGAGCTTGACCTCCCAAAATACGCATGACAAGTTAGCAATCAGCACTTTTAATAAAGCCATTTATCAATCCCTCACCCACCAATATGGGATATAACAATCCACCCCCCTTAAGGAGCTCAATAACTCCGTCAGCACAATCAGACAGCCAGTGAGGTCGACTCTGATACCAAATATAATAGTCCAGCTTAACTTGTGATATATTATCCGTTTTGAGCCTTACCACCCTCACTGTTTTGTTTTTGGTGACGCGAGTCCACATTTGAGCTTGACATCTCAAAAGGTGTATGACAAGTTAGCAACCAAC